TGCCCAGCGTCCACCCAGCGTCCACCCAGCGTCCACCCAGCGCCTGCCGATGTCGAAGGTCACAACTGACAGCCAGGCTTCTCTCAGCCAAGAGAAGCCATCAATCAGCGACAGGGACGGCACATGTCCAGTGTAAAACAATAAGGTTTGTGGTCTCAAGACCAACAGGGATGTGCGCAAACATTCCCACAATGGAGCCCAATGTCCGGGTAGTTGGCGCCCTCCCAAAGACAGTATCAATCAGCGCCCCACGCCAGCAGTCAGGGAAACCACCTTCAACAGATTCATTTCGACTGAGAACCTACTAGAAGCCATCAAAGCGATATCAGTTGGAACCTTGCAGCACTTTCCCAAAGCTGCTCGCTCTCAAGCAGCAGCCAAACTATCCAGCCTCTTGAAAAAGGTTAATGACTCTCCTGGAACCTCTCCCGGAGTGCCTCTCACCTCTCTGGTGCTCTTGGGGGGGGGGGGGGAGATATATGGGGTATACCTCGAAATTTCCATTTCTTTTAAGGGTCTGAGTTTGGTGTAGTGGGTTAAGGCGTACTAGTTATGACAGTTGATGGAAAGCAACTGTGCTTTCTTGGTTGCTGCTATCTATCTATTATATATATATATATATATATATATATATATATATATGTCGTACCTAGTAGCCAGAACGCACTTCTCGGCCTACTATGCAAGGCCCGATTTGCCTAATAAGCCAAGTTTTCCTGAATTAATATATTTTCTCTATTTTTTTTCTTATGCAATGAAAAAGCTACCCATTTCATTATGTATAAGGTCAATTTTTTTTTTATTGGAGTTAAAATTAACGTACATATATGACCGAACCTAACCAACCCTACCTAACCTATCTTTATAGGTTAGGTTAGGTTAGGTAGCCGAAAAAGTTAGGTTAGGTTAGGTTAGGTAGGTTAGGTAGTCGAAAAGCAATTAATTCATGAAAACTTGGCTTATTAGACAAATCGGGCCTTGCATAGTAGGCTGAGAAGTGCGTTCTGGCTATTAGGTACGACATATATATATATATATATATATATATATATATATATATATATATATATATATATATATATATATATATATATATATAAAAGCCAAGTTTTCATGAATTAATTGTTTTTCGACTACCTAACCTACCTAACCTAACCTAACCTAACTTTTTCGGCTACCTAACCTAACCTAACCTATAAAGATAGGTTAGGTTAGGTTAGGTTCGGTCATATATCTACGTTAATTTTAACTCCAATAAAAAAAAATTGACCTCATACATAATGAAATGGGTAGCTTTATCATTTCATAAGAAAAAAATTAGAGAAAATATATTAATTCAGGAAAACTTGGCTTATTAGGCAAATCGGGCCTTGCATAGTAGGCTGAGAAGTGCGTTCTGGCTACTAGGTATGACATATATATATATATATATATATGCAAACAAGCCTGAATGGTCCCCAGGACTATATACAACTGAAAACTCACACCCCAGAAGTGACTCGAACCCATACTCCCACAACTGGTATGTACAGGGACGCCTTAATCCGCTTGACCATCACGACCGGACATAAGGAAGTGATAGCCGAGGCTATTTGAACCACTTCCCCGCCGGCACTCGGATGGTAATCTTGGGCATAGCATTTTATCAAATCACCTCATTCTTTGGGGCACACGTGAGGAACACAAATGCAAACAAGCCTGAATGGTCCCCAGGACTATATACAACTGAAAACTCACACCCCAGAAGTGACTCGAACCCATACTCCCACAACTGGTCTGTACAGGGACGCCTTAATCCGCTTGACCATCACGACCGGACATAAGGAAGTGATAGCCGAGGCTATTTGAACCACTTCCCCGCCGGCACTCGGATGGTAATCTTGGGCATAGCATTTTATCAAATCACCTCATTCTTTGGGGCACACGTGAGGAACACAAATGCAAACAAGCCTGAATGGTCCCCAGGACTATATACAACTGAAAACTCACACCCCAGAAGTGACTCGAACCCATACTCCCACAACTGGTATGTACAGGGACGCCTTAATCCGCTTGACCATCACGACCGGACATAAGGAAGTGATAGCCGAGGCTATTTGAACCACTTCCCCGCCGGCACTCGGATGGTAATCTTGGGCATAGCATTTTATCAAATCACCTCATTCTTTGGGGCACACGTGAGGAACACAAATGCAAACAAGCCTTTCAGTTGAGTTTTCAGTTGTATAACTGAAGTTGTGAGTTTTCAGTTGTATATAGTCCTGGGGACCATTCAGGCTTGTTTGCATTTGTGTTCCTCACGAGTGCCCCAAAGAATGAGGTGATTTGATAAAATGCTATGCCCAAGATTACCATCCGAGTGCCGGCGGGGAAGTGGTTCAAATAGCCTCGGCTATCACTTCCTTATGTCCGGTCGTGATGGTCAAGCGGATTAAGGCGTCCCTGTACATACCAGTTGTGGGAGTATGGGTTCGAGTCACTTCTGGGGTGTGAGTTTTCAGTTGTATATAGTCCTGGGGACCATTCAGGCTTGTTTGCATTTGTGTTCCTCACGTGTGCCCCAAAGAATGAGGTGATTTGATAAAATGCTATGCCCAAGATTACCATCCGAGTGCCGGCGGGGAAGTGGTTCAAATAGCCTCGGCTATCACTTCCTTATGTCCGGTCGTGATGGTCAAGCGGATTAAGGCGTCCATGTACATACCAGTTGTGGGAGTATGGGTTCGAGTCACTTCTGGGGTGTGAGTTTTCAGTTGTATATAGTCCTGGGGACCATTCAGGCTTGTTTGCATTTGTGTTCCTCACGTGTGCCCCAAAGAATGAGGTGATTTGATAAAATGCTATGCCCAAGATTACCATCCGAGTGCCGGCGGGGAAGTGGTTCAAATAGCCTCGGCTATCACTTCCTTATGTCCGGTCGTGATGGTCAAGCGGATTAAGGCGTCCCTGTACATACCAGTTGTGGGAGTATGGGTTCGAGTCACTTCTGGGGTGTGAGTTTTCAGTTATATATATATATATATATATATATATATATATATATATATATATATATATATATATATATATATATATATATATATATATATACAACTTTAGAACACTTTCCCACCAGGAGACTCGAACTCTAGCCAGCACAGAAGCCTTCCAGCAACTGGCATAACAGGTACGCCTTAACCCACTGCACCACCGCTCAGACCCTTAAAAGAGATGGTAATTTCGGAGTATTTATACACACCAATGACCACCATCTCCCAGGAGCACTAGAGCAAGTGAGGGGTCATTTTACGTTTTTCATCAAGTCCCTGTTAATATGGAAGCTGGAAGGCTTCTGTGCTGGCTAGGGTTCGAGTCTCCTGGTGGGAAAGTGTTCTAAAGTTGTATAACTTCACTCTTGTGTTTAGGAGAGTTGTGCCTCATAGCCTCATATATATATATATATATATATATATATATATATATATATATATATATATATATATATATATATATATATATATATGTGTGTGTGTGTGTGTGTGTATATACATATATTAGTATATTTTGGTAGCAGTTTTTCTTGTAAACATATGTTCTTAGATATGACCGAAAAAGGATGATTAATAATTCTAACACGAATTTTCTCATTATTTCTTATGTTTCTTTTTACTGTCGATGGTAATTGAAAAATCAGTTACCATCATAATAATAAAAAGTGCATTTTTATTTCTAGTCTGACGCGATGCTTGAACGCGTTTCGTAATAGCTTATTACATTTTCAAAGACTTTAGTTTACACACACACAACTGTAACCTGAAAACACTAAACAGAGTTTTACTTATGCTAAACACTTAAACAGCTTGTCTTATATACTCGCATTTGGGTGAGGTGATGTGTTGCAACAGTTTTGGATGAGGTGAACAAACCTTTTGACCAATACAAGAACAAGGCAGAACACGGAACATTGGGTATTAATTGGATAAATGAGAGGGAAGAATGGAAGTAACTGCAAAGGGCCTATTGGTCCCATACTTCCTCTTGTTGCTTCTATATTGGTACGGAGTCTTGAAGTGGGTAGAATATGTTGATTGATTGGTGGCTGTTGATTGCTGGTGTTGACTTCTTGATGTGCAGTGCCTCGCAGATATCAAGCGGCTTGCTATCTCTGTATCTATCGATGATTTCTGTGTTTTTTGTTAAGACTTCTCTGGTGATGGTCTGGTTGTGGGAAGAGATTATATGTTCCTTGATGGAGCCCTGTTGCTTATGCATTGTTAATCGCCTTGAAAGAGATGTTGTTGTCTTGCCTATATACTGAGTTCTTTAAACACACTCTAAACACACGAAGTCAATGACATCATTAGGAGTAGGCTTGCCTCTGCCCAGTGTCCAGCGGAGAGAGAGCCCCGCTATCTATTGAACCGTGACTCTGTTAGCTTTGCCGGCCAAACAGACGGAATCACGCTGCACCCTTGGAGGGGTGGCAGTCAATTGGCATGGGACTATACTTGCATATCCACCCCTGGCAACCACATGCATCAACCTCTCTGCTGGCCAAGTAGGTCCTGCGGCGACACACAGAGAAAGATACAAATCAACCAAGTACAGGGAATTAGATCACCGGTACAACTTCGTTCCAATAGGATCTGAGACCCTTGGCCCATGGGGAGAGAGTGCAAAAAGGTTTCTTGCTTCCTTAACCAAGATCTTTGTTCCAGGCTCATTTACACTACAAGAGACCCCTAGATCGGCAAGTTTTCTCTTCTAGCGCCTCAGTGTAGTGATCCAGATGGGGAATGCCCGCTGCGTCCTCGGTTCCTGCACGGCGTCGGAGGAGTTCGAAGAAATCTACAGCCTCTAGGAAACAAACTTCCCCTAATGTCCTCTTAATGTTCATTTTTTGTAAACAATCATATATTTAACCGTTATAACCTTGTATAATAAAGTGTACAACATAAAAAGGGGGATGGTAGGAGAAGTGAACACCCATACGTATTCAAAATTAAAGGGCAATTACTCACCCCAAACAACACAGCTGTCAACTGCAGCAGCTTCATCATGGCTTCTGATGCAGAGATGGAGGTGGAGGCGACTGCTGGGGTGGTGGAGGTGGAGATGACAGCTGGGGTGGTGGAGGTGGAGATGACAGCTGGGGTGGTGGAGGTGGAGGCGACTGCTGGGGTGGTGGAGGTGGAGACGACAGCTGGGGTGGTGGAGGTGGAGACGACAGCTGGGGTGGTGGAGGTGGAGACGACAGCTGGGGTGGTGGAGGTGGAGACGACAGCTGGGGTGGTGGAGGTGGAGACGACAGCTGGGGTGGTGGAGGTGGAGGCGACTGCTGGGGTGGTGGAGGTGGAGGCGACTGCTGGGGTGGTGGAGGTGGAGACGACTGCTGGGGTGGTGGAGGTGGAGACGACAGCTGGGGTGGTGGAGGTGGAGACGACTGCTGGGGTGGTGGAGGTGGAGACGACTGCTGGGGTGGTGGAGGTGGAGACGACTGCTGGGGTGGTGGAGGTGGAGATGACTGCTGGGGTGGTGGAGGTGGAGACGACTGCTGGGGTGGTGGAGGTGGAGACGACAGCTGGGGTGGTGGAGGTGGAGACGACTGCTGGGGTGGTGGAGGTGGAGACGACTGCTGGGGTGGTGGAGGTGGAGATGACTGCTGGGGTGGTGGAGGTGGAGATGACTGACCAGCGGCTGGCGTTGGGAGACACATATATCCTTACTCCCCCCCCCCCAAACAACGCCCCCCTACCCCCCAAAACTTCCCGGCCGCTTCCCCCCCCCCCCACCCCCATGACTCCCCAAGGTGACCTCTGACAATACTGGAGTTCCCAGAACGGTGGTGTTTATTATCCAGTGAGTGCTCACCTTACCTCACAGTGCTTACCTCACAGTGCTTGCCTCACAGTGCTTACCTCACAGTGCTTACCTCACAGTGCTTACCTCACAGTGCTTACCTCACAGTGCTTACCAAACGGCATCTACAGGATGTGTTTATATTAAATCAATGTGCTTACCTAACAGTGTTTACGGTGTTTATCTTACCTAACAGTGTCTATGATAATTGCTTATCTTACCTCACAGTGCTTACCTAACAGTGTCTATATTAAAAACTCACCTATTTGTGCTTGCGGGGGTTAAGCTTCGGCTCTTTGGTCCCGCCTCTCAATTGTCAATCATCTGGTGTACAGATTCCTGAGCCTATTGGGCTCTATCATATCTACATTTATAACTATGAATGGAGTCAGCCTCCACCACATCACTGCCTAATGTATCCCATCTGTTAACTACTCTGAAACTTAAAAAGTTCTTTCCAATGTCTCATTTGGGTACTCAGCTTCCACCTGTCACCTTGTTCGTGTACCTCCCGTGTTAAATAATCTGTCTGCATCTACCCTGTCAATTGCCTTGGGAACTTTGTACATTGTGATCATGTCTCTCCGAACTCTGCTGTCTTCCAGCGACGTGCGGTGCAATTCACACAGCCTCGTAACTCTTGCCTCTTAGTTTCGGAACTAGTCTAGTGACATACCTTTGAACCTCCTCCAGCTTCGTCTTGTGCTTGACAAGATATCGACTCAATGTTTAAGCCACATACTCCAGGCCTTTAAGACTTACATATGTAGTATACAAGGATACAAGCTCCTGAATGATTCCTTACACAAGTTTTTAAAAGCAGTTCTGATGTTAGGCAGCCATTCAACAGCTGCTGATGTTATACTCTTGGTGTGGGTTTCTGGAGACAGGATCGAAGTGATATCTATCCCCAGATCTTTCTCTCTGTCCACAGGAGACATCTCCCGTCACGCAGGGTGCAGTTGCACCTCCACAGATCTCCAGTATCAGCTCGTGATACTGGTAAAGGCTCAAAAGGGCCACCACTTACGGGCTATTCATGCCCGTACCACCTTTTGGGTTGCTTAATCTTCATCAATCAATCAATCTCTCTGTCCGTTTCGTCCAGGACTTCGTTCCCATTCGGAATCCAGTGTCTGTCCTCCTGTTCCCTCCGCGTAGTTTAATTACCTTACATTTACTTGGGTTGAACATTAGTAGCCTTGTGTTGGACACTTCCTTCAGTATGTCTAGGACATCTTGCAAACTCTTGCTATCTTCCTCGGTCTTAATCGCCTCCAAAATGTTTGCATCAACAGCAAACATTAAGTGGAACTTATTGTTCCTTACTTCTTCTAGCAGATCATTTACATAAATCAGCACCAGGAAAGGTCCAAGGACTGTGAGGGGTGAGGTCCAGAGTGGCGTCACCAGTGGAGTACCATAGGCTATATATGAAGGATATATTTATATCCTGTGGATATAAATATAGTGGAGCCTGTGAGTCTCCACTGGTGACGCCCCGCCAGTCTGAGACCTCACCCTCAGTGTAGCTGTGTCTCTTATCTGTCAGTGTCTTCAGTAAGTGCTTATATTACCCAACTTTGACTATAGTAAGTGCTTATATTACCTAACTTTGACTATAGTAAGTGCTTATATTACCTAACTTTGACTATAGTAAGTGCTTATATTACCTAACACTGCAGGCTGACCTCATAGTCCCTGCAGGCTGACCTCATAGTTCCTGCAGGCTGACCTCATAGTCCCTGCAGGCTGACCTCATAATCCCTGCAGGCTGACCTCATAGTCCCTGCAGGCTGACCTCATAATCCCTGCAGGTTGACCTCATAGTTCCTGCAGGCTGACCTCATAATCCCTGCAGGCTGACCTCATAGTTCCTGCAGGCTGACCTCATAATCCCTGCAGGCTGGCCTCATAATCCCTGCAGGCTGACCTCATAATCCCTGCAGGCTGACCTCATAATCCCTGCAGGCTGACCTCATAGTCCCTGCAGGCTGACCTCATAATCCCTGCAGGCTGACCTCATAATCCCTGCAGGCTGACCTCATAATCCCTGCAGGCTGACCTCATAGTCCCTGCAGGCTGACCTCATAGTTCCTGCAGGCTGACCTCATAATCCCTGCAGGCTGACCTCATAGTCCCTGCAGGCTGACCTCATAGTTCCTGCAGGCTGACCTCATAGTTCCTGCAGGCTGACCTCATAATCCCTGCAGGCTGACCTCATAATCCCTGCAGGTTGACCTCATAGTCCCTGCAGGCTGACCTCATAGTTCCTGCAGGCTGACCTCATAATCCCTGCAGGCTGACCTCATAATCCCTGCAGGCTGACCTCATAGTCCCTGCAGGCTGACCTCATAGTTCCTGCAGGCTGACCTCATAATCCCTGCAGGCTGACCTCATAGTCCCTGCAGGCTGACCTCATAATCCCTGCAGGCTGACCTCATAGTTCCTGCAGGCTGACCTCATAGTCCCTGCAGGCTGACCTCATAATCCCTGCAGGCTGACCTCATAGTCCCTGCAGGCTGACCTCATAATCCCTGCAGGCTGACCTCATAATCCCTGCAGGCTGACCTCATAATCCCTGCAGGCTGACCTCATAGTCCCTGCAGGCTGACCTCATAATCCCTGCAGGCTGACCTCATAATCCCTGCAGGCTGACCTCATAATCCCTGCAGGCTGACCTCATAATCCCTGCAGGCTGACCTCATAGTCCCTGCAGGCTGACCTCATAATCCCTGCAGGTTGACCTCATAATCCCTGCAGGTTGACCTCATAGTCCCTGCAGGCTGACCTCATAATCCCTGCAGGCTGACCTCATAGTCCCTGCAGGCTGACCTCATAATCCCTGCAGGTTGACCTCATAATCCCTGCAGGTTGACCTCATAGTCCCTGCAGGCTGACCTCATAATCCCTGCAGGTTGACCTCATAATCCCTGCAGGTTGACCTCATAGTCCCTGCAGGTTGACCTCATAGTCCCTGCAGGCTGACCTCATAGTCCCTGCAGGTTGACCTCATAGTCCCTGCAGGCTGACCTCATAGTCCCTGCAGGCTGACCTCATAATCCCTGCAGGTTGACCTCATAATCCCTGCAGGTTGACCTCATAGTCCCTGCAGGTTGACCTCATAGTCCCTGCAGGTTGACCTCATAGTCCCTGCAGGCTGACCTCATAGTCCCTGCAGGCTGACCTCATAGTCCCTGCAGGCTGACCTCATAGTCCCTGCAGGTTGACCTCATAATCCCTGCAGGTTGACCTCATAGTCCCTGCAGGTTGACCTCATAGTCCCTGCAGGTTGACCTCATAGTCCCTGCAGGCTGACCTCATAGTCCCTGCAGGTTGACCTCATAGTCCCTGCAGGCTGACCTCATAGCTGTATGACAGTAATCCATCATTGAGCGGTTCCATTCAGGAGGTAAAGCTTGAGGTAAAGTTTGAGGTAAAGCATACTTACATCTGTTGAACACATTATAACATTCAGGAACTCCAAATTTAAGTGAATTGATATTTTTCTCATGCACTATTCTGGATAACAAACGGCATCTCATAGTTAAAGTGCACTGTTGAAAGTTAGGGAGGATTTGTTCACTGAGACATTTTCACAGAAAACGAAGACGTAGTTTTAAGGAATTTCACAAATTGAGATAAAATAAGAAACAAAGGGATTAAGATCAGGACAGAGGAAGGAGACGAGACATTGACGCGTAGGATAATGAGTTGTGTACAACCACCATCACAGACACTCTGAAAAGGTTTCCGCATATTAGATCAAATACTTAAATATGTTGAGGGCGTTGGTGACGCTGTGTGTTGTTGAGGGCGTTGGTGACGCTGTGTGTTGTTGAGGGTGTTGGTGACGCTGTGTGTTGTTGAGGGCGTTGGTGACGCTGTGTGTTGTTGAGGGCGTTGGTGACGCTGTGTGTTGTTGAGGGCGTTGGTGACGCTGTGTGTTGTTGAGGGTGTTGGTGACGCTGTGTGTTGTTGGGGACGCCGTGTGTTGTTGAGGGCGTTGCTAACGCTGTGTGTTGTTGAGGGCGTTGGTGACGCTGTGTGGTGTTGAGGGCGTTGGTGACGCTGTGTGGTGTTGAGGGCGTTGGTGACGCTGTGTGTTGTTGAGGGTGTTGGTGACGCCGTGTGTTGTTGAGGGTGTTGGTGACGCTGTGTGTTGTTGAGGGTGTTGGTGACGCTGTGTGGTGTTGAGGGCGTTGGAGACGCTGTGTGGTGTTGAGGGTGTTGGTGACGCTGTGTGGTGTTAAGGGTGTTGGTGACGCTGTGTGTTGTTGAGGGTGTTGGTGACGCTGTGTGGTGTTGAGGGCGTTGGTGACGCTGTGTGGTGTTGAGGGTGTTGGT